TCCCCTCCGCAGGGGCCCTGGCAGAGGAGGGGTCTGCACCGAGGTGATTCCAGTGCCAAGGGTGGGGGGTTCAGCTCTCCCTGCCCACCCCAGGCTCTGGCAAGGGAGGACGGGGTGGCAGCTCCTGCTCATGACACAAAAAAACCTGCCTGGGCCAGGGACAGGCAGCCCCAGAGTCCTGGCCCAGGCCCAGGCTCATAAACTGCTGCTATTTTAAGGGCTTGGAGACGATTTTTCATCATTTAACAAGCCCCAGGCCAGGAGCTGGTTCCAAAGGAAATGTTTCCTTAGTAAAAAAGGGAACCACAGAGGAAGCTCTAAACGCAGGCTCTGCCTCCTCGCCTTACCCAGCAGCTCCCAGGCAGCGACCTGGAAAAGCCCAGCCAGTTCTCAGCCATCAGCACGAAGAGCATCGCGCCAGAGGAACGGGGCTGTGCAAACAACTGTGGGAAACGTGGGAGCACCAGGGGCACTGGAGGCAGCCAGGGGAGGTGGGACAGCAGTGACCCTGACCACAGGCAGCCCACCCCAGAGGGAGCAGGGAGCTGCTGCTGGGACGCCTGAACTCGTGGAGATGGTCCTGCCTCTCCTGCTCATGTCCCTGGGAAACACAATCCGCAGAGCTGTGCCTCCATCCACAGCCCACCCTGCTCCCTGAAGGAGGGACCCCATGGGCAGGAAAATCATCAGCCTCCTGTCCCCTCCCTGTCTGTGTCTGGGTGCTGCCTGCAGCTGGGAGCAGCCGGGGGTGCCAGGCTGGTGCCCACTGTTTTTCAATCCTCATCCAAGCCCAATGCAGCTCTTGCCAGCCAGGTCCTGTTTTGGGTTACTGACCCACCCTGCAACCCCGACCCCCCAGGGTGGCCATCACCGCTGCCCCCAGCCAGCCCCAGGGAGCTGGGACCCCCCAGGCAGCACAGTAGTGGTTCCCACTCCCCATGGGTGCAAGAGGGATGATGCTCCATGGGGCCAGCACCAAGGGACAGCAGCTCACGTGGCTCTGCCTGGGCCTGTTTGCTGCCAAGCCTGCCTACATAAATTAATCAGAGCTAATTGGCTCTTAGGTAAGGCTTCTTTGGAGCAGCTCTGCAAGAAAGGCTTTGAAGTGGGATTGTGAGTGGCAAAACCTTCATTTAAACACAGGGTGCTGGGCAAGGACAGGCTCCCAGCCCCAGTATCGCTCCCTTCAGAGCAGGGATGCCAATAGGTTAAAATCTCACTGGATAACTTTCACTTCACATTAAGTGCGCTCAGTTTATTTACATCTCGCTGATTACAAGAGACAAACAACATTCACCAGAGGTGACACTTGACAAGAGCTGTCTGCTCCCAGTGACAGCAGGAGACAGACTACTGGTGCCACAGAGCCCTGCCAAAACAAGGGACACAGCACAGCTCCCCTCATCACCACACTGCCAGGGTGGGACCATCCCTGATGCTTTGGGAAGATGCGACTGCAGAGCTCCAGGAAATGCATCCTCCAGGTCAGAGGTGTGTGTGTGTGATGCAAAATGAGATCCTGTGCAGAGATCAACTGCTGCTACAGCTCTGCTCAGCACCAGCTTTGATACTATTAAGAAACAGGAGGGAGTTGTCTTCCCCCCATCACAACCAAGCTGCTTTCATTGCGGGTTTCCAGCCCCCAGCTAAGCAGCTCCAGGCAGCACGTTTAAGCTGTTAAGCTCGGCTGAATAGAGCTGCTCTGTGTGCAACTGCTGCTCAGCAGCGGCCAACTGAGAACCACTCAAAAATACAGACGTATATTCATCCTGACTCCCCACACCAAGAAAGGATTTAGACATTTTCCAGCTCAGCTCTCCAGTTAATAATAAATAATTGGCTCGGGAAACACAGCAGTGATCCAAGGCATGAAGAGGGGTGGGGGCAGAACCCATGGCACAGCCAGTGCCAGTGCAATAGCTTATTCCTTCCCAGGGGCTCTCACTGTGTCACAGTGACTGAGCACTGCCCCATCCTCCCAAACCAGAGACTAAGAAAAGGTGCACGAGGGGCTGGGATGCAGGCGAGCACAGAGCTGGGATGTGAGGCAGGGGGTTCACCCACCACCACCCCACCTACAACTGCATTTCTGCCACGCTGAGCATCACCAGCTGCCAGCACAGCTTCACCCCAGGTCACAGCCCATCCTGGCCCCAGTGCCCAGCCCCAACAGCAGCTTCAGTGTCACCAGTGCAAGTGTCACAGGGCAGTAGCAGAGGAGATGATGGCAGCAGAGGGCACACGCTTCTCCAGGTGCAAGCGCTCAGCTCCACCAGCCCAACAGCCATCACATCCCAGGAACCAGCACAGCCAGACCCAGGGCGAGGGGTGAAGGACACACTAAGAGGCCAGGGAGCCTTTAGGCTTTTCACAGCAATCGAGAAAGTGGCAGCAGCATGACAGACATCCCCAGAGCCCGGTCCCTGATCCCTGCCCATGGCCCTTCCAGCTCCCCCCAGGGCTGGGATGCAGCAGCTGGAGGGGGATGTGCTGGGCAGGGGCACAGACAGAGGCTCCAGGTTTCTTACTCTTCTCGAGGTCGGCTCAGGAAACAAGTGCTTGGGGGAGAGGTGGCCCCACAGCAGTGCCAGTGTCCACCCATCTCCATCCAGCCAAGGCTAGCGCTGCTGCCCTGGGCTCATCAGGCATCACGTGTAGTTGCCTGGGCCACCCAGAGGGATCACAAAGACAGAGATGTCATCACCAGAGCCCAGCTTGTCGTTGGCCATCCTCCAGCCCCGCTCCTTCAGCACCCCCCTGGACCTCATCACCAGCTCCTGGGCCACCATGGTGTACCTGGGGACACAGCACAGTGCTGCTCAGCATGACCTGCACACTCTGTGATGCGGCACATTGCAGTCCCTGGCAAGGAAGAAGCTGGAGGAGCCAGAGGTGCAGGAAAGGGCTCCTTGGA